TTGCCAAGTATGACAGAATATGGTAGAGTTATGGGTGGTTTATGTTCCATTTCTCATGCCCACTGTAGCAAGTTCGAAACGACAAGTTGAAAACACTTATTCGCGACCCTCTTATGGCATAGATTGGCGCAGATTTTATATAATTGTCACGGGTTAGCTTTTACTTTGAGCCAGTTTCTTGTGCATTAGGACGTGTTAAAAACCATAACGGACACGTAATTCAGACCCTCTTGGCATGATCGGCCGATATGTTAATAATATGGTGTTTACATAAATCCAATTTCCATGCATTAGGGCGCGTTCGAAACACTCAAACACTTATTACAGCACCCGCCAAGCCATGATGCGCAAAATATGTAAATATGATTGATTTACTTTCCATCCTTCTCATAGGCAATTACGGGTTATTAAACACATCGGACACTTTTTGCAGACTCCTCCTGCATAATAGGTATAGAATAAATAATTAAGTTGCTTTAACCTGCCAATTCTCAAGCATTAGGGGTTTAAAACAATCGGACACTTATTTCGGACCCTCTTGGATTGATGCGCAAGATAATGTAGCTGTATGGTGTTTTATTTGCCATTTCTCATTAGCTATTAAGCATCTCGGAATACTCGGGACACTTTATGATCGGACCTCTTGCAATGATGGCAGATATGTACATTTAATGGAGTATTACTCTGCCAATTTCTCTTGCCAATTGGGAGATTTATTAATAAAACAACTCAGACCACGTTATTCGGACCCTCTTGCATGAATGACAGAATATGTTAATTAATGACGTGTTTACTTCTCCAATTCTCATGCCTATTAAGACGGTCTCGAACAACTCAGACATCACTTTTCCAGACCCTTTTGCTGGATGGCAGATAAATCGTAAAGTTAATGACGATGAATCACTTTCCATTTTCTCATCACTTAGGAGTTCAAACACATGTCGGCACACTACTCGGACACTTATTCAGACCCTCTTCCATGATGGTAGATATATAATTTTGTTGTTTACCTGCCATTTCT